TATCACATTAGACACATCCATGTCACAGTGTTTAACATCACAGCAACCATGAGTTACCTCTGTACAGCAAATGGACAGACCAGTGCTATACCACTTAGAAGAATGTTTGACTGAATACAATTAAAACCAGGCCTGAGAGCTGCAGATTAAAATCACCCACCTTTCACTTGGGAGCATAACTTTCTATCCACTAGGCCAACAGAACTATCTATGTTGTTGTTAAATGCCATTGAGTCGTAGACAACTTATAGTGACCCTATGAACAAAAGACCTGAACACTTGTGTAACTTTCATCGTTTTTCCAAGTTCAAGGAGTTTCTGGAGACAAGCTATTTCAGAATAAGACCATTATTGTAGAACAAATATGAAGATCCAAGCGGGGTGGTAGTGGTGGTGGTGGGGTGGAAGCAGAGGAGTGAGGATGGGGGAGGGGTGGTAGTGGTTCACCATAGGGTGGCACAATTTGATGGGGGGGTTGAAGGAAATGAGGAAGATCCTGTGTGAAAAACAATGTATGCAAACTTTGTAAATAAACCAGTATAAAATTAATTTTAAAAAAAAACACAACCACAACTTTGGGGTTGGGGCTCTAGCAGACTAGCGCATAGGGATTTGCACTGTTCAGCCAAAGGCCATGCCTCTTTGGTGGTTTGACTCTAACATCGACTTTATGGGAGACAGATGGGCAGTCTCCTCCTATATGATTTACAGCCTCAGAAACCCAATGGGAGAGAAACTATTTGTCAGTTCCAACTTGACAGCAGTTGAGTTTGAGAGTTGGTTGTAATTTTTTTGTTTTGTTTTTATTTGGAGCAGGGGGGGATGTTTTAGTTTGACTGAATTCAAACTAGGGAGCTCTTACGGTGTAATGGTCAAGAACTCAGCTGGTAACTAGGAGGTCAACTGTTTGAATCCATCAGCTATTTCATAGAAGACATGTATCATTGTTGTCTTTTATAAAGCTTTAAGAAACTGGCAGCTTGGCAATGAATTCTGTTCTGCACTTCAGGGTCACTATGGCTTATAAAACTCGATAGCAGTGGTTCTGAGTTTTATTATTGGGTTTATAAATTGTTTTCTTCTTTGTATTATAGCAGTATTCAACATGTACATATTTGGTACTTACATGTATATGAACATAAAAAAATTCTCTTTCTGTCATTTTTCATGAGGCTAATCTCACTTTCACAGCTCTACCAGCGCAGAGAATGAGAGAACATATGCTTCTCCATATGCCTGACACAGACTCCTTAATGCATTTATTACTCGGAGCTTAGTGATTGAGGAATGTTTGTAAGATTTCATTTCTCCTCATAGTGAGTCATTCTACTGTACATTTCGAAATCTGTGATAAGTTGAAAGATCCAAGAATGAAGGTACATTTCAACAAACAGCTTCCCATCTGGTAAATGAGAGGTTTTATTTATAACCAGGTATTCAGATACAGTGGTATGAAATGACATCCAAATTATTTTGTTTGATTACATGTCTGGAGAGCTAAGCAAAAACAGTATCCTATTTCACATTCTCCACCCTGAGCCAGATCAGTAAACTTCTCCGCCTTAAATTCCGCAACAGGTCCAAAATTCCCACCTGGATTAATGAGACCTTCCTTCTTCAGACTCTTTTGAACATATCTCTTTCCCTTTCCATATCACAGCCAAACGAAATCTTTCACTTCTTTAAATGTATTTGAAAAACAGCACAATGTAAAGATAAGAAATATTTTAAAAACAAGGTTAGTAAACAAGTTGTCACCAACTAACTGCTTTTCATCTGTTGGATAAAAAATAAAAGCAAACCCAGGAGAGCTCCTGAAAACATTGGAGTCAACACTTAGGGTTAAGAGTGGGAATAAACATGTTCATGTGAAGGTTTGCTTTCGCTTTCAGTCCATGATTGGATCTTCCTTTGGTAGCATCTTTGGAACATGATCCAGAACAATTTGGGAATCACTTGACTATGTCATCTCTGTTGAGTCAGAACCAACTCAAGCTGACTCTCCATTGGCTTTCCAAGACTAGTTTCCAAATGGCGTGGGAGAAGATTATCCATATTTTTGCTCACAGGGTTGCTGGTAGACTTGAACTGCCAGAGAGATATGGCCTTGGATTAGCAGCAGAGCTCCCTATAGACTTTGCTACCAGAATTCCCTTAATCTAGGAATATCTAAAGTAATTCAGAAGTCTAAGGATGCCTATGACTGGAAGACTTGACTCCCAAGATTAAGATTTAGAAACACACTTATTTTTTTCCTAAATCTATTTTATTTAAGTAAAAGATTGCAAATTCATATTTTTCAGTCATTCATAGGCATTAATTATTATTATTGATTGCTGCAATTAACTTATTACGATGTTTAACCAAATCCTTATTGTATATTGCTATTTCTTTCACCCACTTTCTCTATTCCGCCCCCCTCCCCCTTTCCTTTCCTCCTCACACCTTCATTTAATCCACAGTGTAGAAACACCCTTCCTCACTGCCTTACAAATGAGTGTCAGGAATTCTTCTAGCTTTGAATCTGAGTTGGCCCAACGTTCAAGAACAGGCTAAAGGAATTTTGTGCATCTTGATTTTGTTCTTTTTTTTTTTATTTTAGTTGGGTTGGGGTTTTTTGGGTGGGTTTTTTGTTTGTTTGTTTGTTTTGTTTTTAGTTTGTTCTTATAATTCTTATAATTTATTCCCAATTCCAAGCTAAACAAAGATCAGGTGCTTTGAAACTTCATTTCACATTATAAACTCCTCTCACTTTTGCTTATTTACAACCTTTAACAAACTCTAAAGCTCACTATAGTCAAATTAGAACCAACTCATAGCTGATCCCCCAGCAGGTTTTCGAAGACTGTGTAACTGTGATCGTGGGGGTGGTTGCTTATCTTTCTCCCAAGGAGAAGCTGGTGGATTTGAATTGCCTGCCTTTGGATTGGCAGCTCAACTCCTTATCCACTAGGTCACCAGCTCTCCCTTTTGTTCTTTTTTCTAAACTTTGCCTACCTACTTGTGAGCAAATCAGTCAACCAATAGAATGTATTTAATTCACTGATGGGAATGATGGGAATAAGGAAGGTGTAAAATTCACCTCATGATAGTTGCATCTAAGTGGAGAGAGTGAAAACATTGATTGATTTAAAAAAAAAAATTCTAAGATGTGCATACATGCTGTAAGTAACTGAATTCTGAATTCTGTGCTAGACCAACTATCGTAGAGAGAAAATGTTAGTGAAATCTTCACAGAGAAAGTGGATTCCCCCCCCCCAAAAAAAACAAAGGCTGGGTAGAATTAAGATTAGTAAACATTATAGGGGGTTGATTTTACAGGTAGCTGCTTGGACTGGCCCATGCATGAGTACAAAGCTACAGAGGCAGAGACAGCATTGCCCCATGGGCCTGTCTCTAACACCTGTGCTCATAAACCACTGCCCTGGACAGGTCCTTAACCTTTAGTGTGCATGGAAATGCTCTGCAGGGCTTGTCAAAGTGCACAGGAGTCTACCTCCTAACTACAATCTGTTTCTGGCTCCATAGGTCTGAGATAAGCCTTTTTTAAACACATTCTCAGATACTATTGACAATCCAAAGTCTATGCTTTCAAAACCACTGGTCTAGAAAATGTAGATGAGACACAAGGTAATGCAAATGGTTAACATGCCAAGCTGCAAACCAGAAGGCTAGAGGTTTGAGTCTTGTCTGAAAGACCTCAGAGGAAAAGGCCTGGCAATCTATTTCCAGAAAATCAGCTATTGAAAAGCCAGTGGAGTGAAATTGTATTCTGACACCAGTGGTGTGTCACAATGAGTGGGAGTTAGCAGAACAGAATGTGTGGGTAACTGGGTGATTCACCACTTAATAAGTGTTGTCTCATAGTGATAATGCTGCATCATATTGTATGTACTTTGAATGGATCCTTTTGTCTGTTTCCTAAATAAATGATGAGTGTTCATTGTGTGTTCTTAAGTCCTTGCATTACTCATGGAAAGAAGATAAAATGGACATTGAATATTTTTCAATTTGCAATGTACTATAATTCCACTTCTAATCTCTCTTAGCAAAACCTTTCCCCCTAAAGTTTTCCTCATAGTCTTTCACTCCCCTGAATTGTTTATTTACACCATTCTGTCCAATGCCACTCTATTCCCACAACTCTCATGAGTGCAACCAAATTGCATTTTATTATATTCTACCTCTTTTTTAAGGTCACATTTCCATGCTGTGTTTTAACCAACCTGAACTTTGAGATTTTAAATGAAAATAATAATAGTAATGATAATAATTATTATTATTTAACCTCTAAAAAAGATAGATATTTATTTTCTCTGAATTCAGTGGTAAATGAACATAAGGATATGGATTACTGGATTTCAATTTCCTGTTCAACATTGATGATAACTTCTGAAGTAGAAACTTATTTATTTTGGAATCATTTCCATTCAATGAAATGACTATCAAAGTACCTATCAGTATAACTGTTAGTGACTTTGATAATTGCACATTGCTTTAAGACTTTATATATTAAATAATTAGATTATGTTTGATCTGTGACAAAAGCTTATAATTCCTTTAGTTTTATCAGCAATCATAGTACACAGCAAATTTCAAAGTGTTTTTTATGCCAACTGTACCTTCTCACCATGAATAATGAAAAGGCATTAATAGCACTTATTTTTTGAGGAATAGACAAATGCATAAATTCAAAATAAATGCACACATGATTTTTCCTTAGGATGCCATGAAACAATGTCAGAGTTCTGTGAAACATAAGCAAGGTCATTTTGTGTCACTTTTAAATTTGGCCACCAAATGTTGATTTACTTTTAGCTTGTTGAGATTAAATATAATTCTTTCCCTTAGCAGTCCTAAAGTAAACAAGCATGAAAGCATTTTCAAAGTAATCCGAGAGGAATTGACATTTAAAGGAGTTAGCATTACATTTGTACTTTAAGGCTATTACTTTCATAGATAAATTCACTTCATTACCTCTTTATCTCATGTTTTGAAAGGAGTCCATCGACCGCAAGACTGACAACCGAGGGTCAATTGAAATTGCTCTTATCCCAGCCATGTTGTAACTGGAACCTGCTTCTGGCAACCTTGCTCCATCACGATGGTCTCTTACTGAGAATCTTGCTGAAGAACTCAAGTAAGTATTTGCAGTTGTAAGAATGCCCTCAAGATATCTAGTTGTCACTCACGTTGAAGGCAATTGTTTTGTGGGGTTTTTAAAATTATATGAATGCTACTCAACATTCTCTCACAAACTTTGGCCATATTGTCAGGAGGGACCAGCCTTTGGAAAAAAAACAACAAGCTGGAAATGGTAGAAGGTCAATGAAAGAAAGAAAAAGTCCTCAATGAGATGGATCGAAACAATGACTTGTTGAAATGAAAACAACGGGTTTGAGAATATCAGAGTTGGTGAAGGTGGCTCAGGATAGAACAAGGTTCAGGTCTTTTGTTCATAGGGTTACTATAAGTCATGCTCAATTTGACGGCACCTAACAACAATGAAGGGAAACAATATTCCCTACAAAGAAATAATAATTTATCAAAATTCTTTAGCTTCTCACATGTACTCATGCCCAATTTTCCGTTTCATTTTCTCTCATCTATTTTGCTTCCCCAAAACCACTCAACAGAAGTGTCTCACTTGAGCCCCTTATGAGGCTACTACTTTTTTTCTATATTGGTTGGTTTGTTGGTAGTTTGTGTGTTTTGTTGATGTTTTTAATTTAAGCCTCTTGTTTAGAGCCAACAAGACCTCGGGGAGGGCCTTAATATTTGAAGTCAGTTGTTACTATATTTTGGAGGAACATTAAGAGGTATAGCACTCTTCTGTCAATATGCTGTACTGAGGTAACCTGGGGTTGCTGTGATGCTGAACCTTGTGCCGTTGGGGTGCCAAATGCCATAATGGTTGCCCATGGTGGACAGTGTTTTGTGGAGCTTCCAGTTTAAGACAGGTTTGGAAGCAGTAGTGGCATCCACTTCCTAAACAACATGCCTCTGGAACTCTATGAACTTTGATAAATAATAATAGTTATAGAAAGGCTTCAGGCCTTTTGTTCATATGAGTTGTGCTTGACTTGATGGCAGTCAACAACAACAACTTTTTTCTATAGAAACCAATGGTATTAAAAGTTACTATATCTCCCTCAGGCCTCACAGCATTGTAACCTGTTGCATTCTAAGCAAAAGAAAAAGATTGTCCCTTTCCAAAACCTTGCATAGAATTTTCTTCCCTTAACACTAGATAAGATTTTGTGGGTGCCAAAACTCACAAATTCACCTGCAAGGAAATTCCTTTAACTTCAGGCTATAAAATCAGAAAAGATATTTTTCAGGGTTATATTCTTTCTCCATATTTATTCAATCTGTATGTGAATAAAAGCTTAGAGAAACAGAATTATATGAAGAAGATTGTAACATCAGGATGGGAAGAAACCCCATCAACAACCTGTGACAATACAGCTGATGAACCTTGCTTGCAGAAAAAAAAAATTTTTTTAAAGACCTGTTAATGAAGTTCAAAGACTATATACTTTAGTATGGATTCCACACAGACGGACAGAAAGGAAAACTTGTCATAACTTGACCAATAAATAGCATCATAACAAATGGAGAAAAAAAATGACGTTTTCAAGGCTTTCATTTTACTTGAATCCCTAATCATTAATTATGGATGCATCAATAAACAAATCAAATTACTATATTCAAAAGGGCAAATCTGTTTCCAGAGACTTCTTTAAAGTGCAAGTGAGTATTTTTAAAGAGCAAAGATGTCACATTAAAGACTAAAGTCTGCCTGGCCCAAACAATAGTTGTTGTTGTTGTTGTTGTTTTTTCTTATGTCCTGTGCATTTGGAAATTAAACAATAATTATGGAAAGTAGAAGAAAAATAAATGCCTTTGAATTGTAGTGTTGTTTAAGACTATGGTATATATCATGGACTGCCAAAAACCAAATGAATCTGCTGGTAGAAGTGAAGCTAGGGTGCTTCTTAAAAGTAAGGATGGTGTGACTTCTTACATACTCTGAACATGTTATCAGGTAGACTAGTCCCTGGAAAAGGATATCATACTTGGAAAAGACAAGAGGGCCAACAAAAAAGGAGGAAGACATTCGCTGAAATGGATTGATGAAGTGACTACAACAATGGTTAAACACATCAGAGATTGTAAAGATGGTGCAGAATTGGATGGGTTTTCATTCTGTTGTACACAATCAGAACCAACTTGATCGCACTTAATATCAAGGAGCACTGCTGGTGCAGTGGTTAAAGAATTTGACTGCTTATGGAAAGGTTAATGGTTTAAGACCCACAGCTGCTCTGAGAGAGAATGATGAGGCCATCTACTTCTGTAAAGATTTATAACGTTGGGAACCCTATACGCAGTTCTGCTCTGTCTCAGTTACTGTGGTGGTAGGTTTAAGGGAGAAACTGACTGAAATAACCAACAGTTATTATTTAGTTACTGAATGTTCAACACTTACACTTACTAGTTTATTTGATTCATATTGATGTTAATCTTACATTCAAAATAAGGATATTTGAGTTTAGAATAAAGTTGTTTACCAAAGACATGGTGCTGATAAATGGTGAGTAGATGTTACTTCCCATTCATCCAGACCATTAGGTGCAATATTTGTCCTTATGGGACTGAGTTAGTTCACTTAGCATAATGTTCTCCAGTCCCTCCCAAGTTAAGTAATTTAAAAAATTATTGCTCCTTTGTGCTGCACAGTATTCCATCGTGTGAATGTACCACAATTTCTCAATCCACTCAATTGTGGTTGACCATTTGGACTGTTTCCATGTTCTTGTGATGGTGAATAACATTGCTATGCACATTGGTGTACAAATCTTTCATTTTGGCTCAGTTCTCCTTTTCTTGGGTTGTATTCCGAGTAGTGGAATAACTGGGTCATAAATAAATGGAAAAATGTGCCCTGTTCATAGGTAGGAACACCCAATATTGTGAAAATTACAATACTACCAAAAGCAATTTACATGTTCAATGAAATCCCAATACAGATAACAAATTCCTTTTTCAAGGAGATCGAAAAGGAACTTGCCAAATTTACTTAAAGAGTAAAGAGACGCCAAATAAACAAAGCACTTTTCTTGAAAACAAAACTGAAGTGGGAAGCATAGCACTCCCCGACCTTAAAACCCACTACACAGCAGTAGTAACCAAAACAGCATGGTACTGGTACAATGACGGGCACACAAGCCAATGGAACAGAATAAAAAACCCAGAAATGGACTTCTCTATCTGTGGTCAACTGATATTTGACAAGGAAATAAAACCCAACAAATGGGGAAATGGCAACCTCTTTCACAAATGGTACTGGAAAAACTGGACTGCTAACTTCAGAAAGCTGAAATAGGATCCATATGTCACAACACACACAAGAATCAACTCAAGGTAGATCAGAGTCTTAGGAGTAAAGCGCCAAACTAAAAAGTTCATAAGAGACAAAAGGGGACCAAATATAGAAGGCCTAGTATATGGTATAAAGAGACTGCCAAATACAGCCAGAATTTAATGATTTGGAGAGTATAAATTTGTTGAATGGGACATTCTAAAGATTAAATCTCTGTACTCATCAAAACCTTTTTCCAACAGAGTAAAAGAGAACATGCTGACTGGGAACAAACATATGGTAATAGCAACTCAGACACGGATCTCATAACAAAAGTCTGGAGAATACTCCTGGGCCTGCAGAAGAAAAAACCCGATAACCCAATTACCTAATGGGCAAAAGACATGGAAAGACTTTTCACAGAGGAAGACATTCAGGAGGCCAACAAAACATGTATGCGTTTGAGCTATGATGCTGGAGAAGGGTGTTGAATATACCTTGGACTGCCAGGAGAACAAACAGATTCATTCTAGAGAGGGTGAAATCAGGCTGCTCCTTGGAGGCAAAGATTCTGATTCTTTGTGTGATATGCTTTGGCATGTTGTAAGAAGGGACCAGTCCTTGGAATGGGACATCATGCTTGGAATGGTAGCATAGTTACTCCTAGCAACATGTCCAAAGTATGTGAGGCAAATCCTTATCATCTTTGCCTCCAAAGAGCACTCTAGCTGCACCCTCTCCAAGACATAGTTGTTTGTTCTCTTGGCCATCCATGGATGTTCAGTGTTCTTCTCCAAAACCACAGCTCAAAGACATCAATTCTTTTTCTGTCATCTTTAATTCATTGTCCAGTTCTTGAATGCATAGCAAGTAATCAGAAAGACTATAGTGTGATTCAGATGCATGAGGGCCATGGTGTTAATTGTATTTGCAATGAACATTGTTCAAGTACTTGTCTGTCAGTTTGCTGTACTGAGATAACTTGAGGTTGCTGTGAAATTGAAATCTGTGCCACTGGTGTGTCAAATGCCATCTGTCAGGTTACCTGTGGTGGACAGGTTTTGGTGGAGCTCCCTGAATAAGCCAGACTAGGAAGAAAAAATGGGCCATCTATTTCCTAAATAACAGGTCTTTGAAAGTGCTGTAAACACTGATTAAAGAAGTTAGTTAGAGCTATCTAGTGGTAGAGCCCACAATGGAAGTCAGTTGAAATGAGGAAAAACAATAACAAACATTGTTTAATAATTGGAACATGGAATGTATGTAGTTTGAATATTGAAAAACTGTAAATTGTTAAAAATGAAATGGGACACACGAACACTGACAATACTAGGCATTAGTGAGATGAGATGTATCAGCTTTGGCCACTTTGACTCAGATAATCATATGGTGTACTATGCTGGGAATAAAAAATAGAAGGATAATAGTGTTGCATCCTTAGTCAAAAGTCAATTTCAACTTCACTGTTACAAACAATATTCATAAAATTTTATTAATTCTACTAAATTGAAGTTACTGCATACATGATTAACAAATTTATTAATTTTTTATAGGTTTTTTTCTTTAAGAATATTCTTTTTTATTTTTTAAGAATATTCTTGATTATTTCTCTAAGAGTATGTTTTTTTCTTTGATTAAGAGTATTTTTTTAAGCCATTTGGCAATTTAGAAGTTTGAGTATAGTTTTAGAGAAGCAAAATTTTAGAACAAAAATTTAGAATTGTTTTGAGGCTCATAATTATTATCAATTTTGCATAGGGAATTTTTCCTTTTTA